AATAATAATAATAATAATAATAATAATAATAATAATAATAATAATAATAATAATTTCTCGTTTTTAATTTTTATTACCGAGAGTATGTGGTGAAGGCAAATTAATTACTAATCTTACTCTTTCGCACTTTAAAAAAAGAAAATTCGTCTGCATGCATTATGTGTGTAAGTTAAAAAAATTAAAGTGAAAATTCAATTTGCAAAATAATCGCACAAACTTTCTCCCACCTTCCCCCCCATTTTGAATTTAATAGATTTTTTTTTTTAAAAAGAGAAAGGGAACTTAAGTATCACTGAACAAAAAGAAAACTATCAACCGTAAAAAATATAATTCGCAGAAAGGAATTTATTATTTTAAAAAAATAAATCTCAATAGTAATAATAATAATAATGAGGGTAATAATAAAACTTTCACCATTATATTACAAAACGTGATCGTACCTTAATTTTATCATTATTCCTTTCCCTCCCCCCCCCTGCTCCCTACCATTTACCCTCCACAGGTAATAGATTTGAAAACGTTGTAGGCGTTTAGTCAGTCAGTCAGGTAGTTAATCTAATTGATAACGATTTACTACAATCGAACATACCTGAAATATTTAAACGTTCGATAAAATTATTATTATTAATAATGTCAAAAGAAAAAGGAAACGAATTTTTAACGAAATAATTTTTTGTTTAGTGCGAAGGCGTTGAAAGGTTTATTTTAAAAAAAAAAATATATTTACTCGTTTGACCTTTTTCCTTCTCTTAAAATAAAACTCGTTTAAAATTTACACGTCAGATTTATAATATATATTTGTTAAGATATTTTTTCCCCTTCCCTTTCCCTTTAGTTTAATGCCCCCCCCTCGTGCACAGTTAGTTTTTATTATTATTATTATTATAAATCATTAAAAAGGAAAAATTTAATTACGGAAATTAGTAGTTATCTTCATTGATAATTTATGAATCATTCACTGTTAATTATTATTAGTAATGTAAATAATTCTTTCTTTCATTCTTTCAAACGTTTTTTAATAATAATGATAATAATAATAATAATAATAATAATAATAATAATAATAATAACAGCACAGCCAAAGAAGCAGACAAAATGCTGAAATATAGAAATTTGGGAATTGAAATAGCCAGGATGTGGGGAAAGTAAAAACAGAAACGATTCCGGTCATCGTGGAAGCAGCATCACTGGGAGCCATGCCACCACCACATTCAATAAAAGGAAATTTAAAGAAGATTTTAAAGAACCTAAAAGAAGAAGAAACCATCCAGGAAATCGCACTACGTGGGACGGCCCACATTCTTCGGAAAATATTATAAATAGCACCCGAGCATTTATCCCTAAGGAATCGTCGGGTAAGAAACCTGGGATAAATGAACTTAAAAACCCCGACAAATAAGAGCCTTGTCGTGTTTAAGAGTGACCACAATAATAATAATAATCAAATCGATTTTAGAGAGAACCTGGATTGGAATTGGAACGTTATACCAATACGAGAATAAATAATTAAGCGTTAAAAGAAAATGACGGTTAATGAATCGAATGTCAAGTCGATAGATAATGAACGCATTATATGTAAAAAAAAAAAAAAAAAAAATGTCCATTTTGTTGTTCTGTGCATTCATTCATTCATTCATTCATTCATTGAAAAATACACACAGGATTTGTGTTTTTTAAAGTCGTTGTGTGTTCTTTTATTATTATTTTCTACCGTTATTTACACCTATGCCACCTATGCTTATGCACTATAATTTATTTAACTTTTTAAATTTAATTTAAGGAAACGATATCAATCAAATTCAAATTCAAATGGAATGGATTCATTTTTTTTTTTTTTTTCGTAAAAATTCCTAGCGTTTAATATTATTTCCTATTCTCGGTAAATTATTTTTAACATTTAATAAAATCCTATAAATATGCAAAATAAAAAAAAATACTCAATGATATACATTCAAGTTACCTGGCCCATAATTCCCTCAGGCTATGTTCTAGTTTCCTTATTTAATACCAAAAATGAATATAATTTTTTTTTTTTTTTTTTTTTCGGGCCGGATCATCTCATCAATCGGATCGTTATTTTAAAAAAAATAATGCATATAAACATTTATAATCCCCCCCCCCAACCCCGAGAGAAAAAAAAAACCCCCATTTGACTAATTACAAGTTTCTTAAATCAAACAAATATAAATAATAATCATTATTATTATCCTATCTTTAAATGTGAAGTTTGTTGTTTTATCTTAATCATTATTATTATCATTCATTCATTCATTTGTTTAAACTTGTTGTTAATTAAAAAATTTATTAATTTATTTAAATTTTTTTTGTAAATTTAACAAAAAAAAATGTCATTCAAGTAAACGTTAATGACTTGCATGTGTGCTTCTACCACAATCAAATTCAAAATTTTAATTTTTTTAACTGTTTGTCAGACATTTTTAATTTTTTACCAATTGTTTTTTGTTTATAATTACGTCAGTCATTCTTAATTATACATTTAATAATTATTTATTTAAATTAATTAATAAAAACAATTTAAAATTTGGTTATAACTCAATTACAAAAAATAAACTAGTAAATTGTAGAAATCAAATTAATGATAATAACTAACTAACTGAGTAAATTATAGTTAATTATTTAGATTAATTTAAGTTTATTCCAAATTAGTTTTTTTTTGTAAATTTGATATAAAATAATTTTAAATAAATAAATAAATAATTAAGAATGATTTTTCTAAATTTTTTTCAAAAAGGATAAACGAATATAAAACAAGTAATTGCAAATAAAATTTTTAAAAGTTTCGGTACAAACTTACGTAAGACAAGTAGTGTGTCTAAGTTTAAATTATTTTTTCATTCTTAACCACGTTTGATTGTATTTTCACAACGAAAAGTTTTAAAAAAACCATTTTTTTTTTTTGAAAATTTGATAAATTAAAAAAGTAATTCTAAAAATTATAATCAAGAGCTTTAAACATAGAGTAAGAAATAGTCAAATTAATAAAAATGTTTTTTGTCGTGTCATTAGAAGTACGAAGTGTTCATGACGGAATCGTAACCAAGAGACATATTTAAATTTATAAATAAACCTTCAACCTATCTTTCAAAAAGGATAACCGACATCGTATTTGGTTGAAATTTTACAATTCGCATAATGGTTAAAAATATTTCATTTATATATTATTTTCAAATTGTAGTTAAATTGATTTTAGTTTTTTTTTTTTTTTTTTGAAATGATTTGTTTTGATATTTCAGGCTAGCGAGGTGGAAGAAACATTGAAAAGAATACAATCACACAAAGGTGTGGCTGGAGTTGTAGTTGTCAATGCTGAAGGTATCCCAATTAAAACTACAATGGATAATACTACAACCGTACAGTATGCAGGCCTTATTAGTCAGCTATCTGATAAGGTAAATTTTCCATTCTTTGTTTTTTTTTTTAATCTTTGTGACATATATTTAAGTCGGGGTTAACTATCAGCATTGATGACTGACTGTCGGGTTAACTTGAAATAATCAAAACAAATCATGTAAATAATAATAATAATAATAATAATAATTAATAACTTACATTATGTCATGAATATTCTCTCTTCGTATGCACTAAACCTGAAAAAATAATATTTTTTAAACATTAACAATTTTTTATCTATTACAATAATACATTTTGCATTTTTTTTTTTCTCTCGAGTTTATCATATTTTCAAGCTTTATAATAACTATTCTTAAACTAATCGACTAAACAATTTTTTAATTTAATTTAGTTTAATAATAAAAAACATATGTTTATTTTAAAAAGCAAAATATTTAAATCTGTAATAAAAAAATTGTTTACATTAATTACAAGTACAATAATATTTATATTAATTTTTTTATTTTTTATTTTTGCAGGCTCGAAGTGTAGTCAGAGATTTAGATCCGAGTAACGATTTAACATTTTTAAGAATTAGGTCTAAAAAACATGAAATTTTAGTGGCACCAGATAAAGAATTTTTATTAATTGTTATACAAAATCCAGTAGATTGAATATAATTATTGGATTATTATTATTATTATTTTTTTAACATTTTTATTTTATTTTTTATTATTTAATTTTTTGTTTGTCAAGAGGGAATGTTTGTACGATTTTATTTACTTTTTCAAACACCAAATTAATTTCGATTAAATGCACTGTGTTAAAATTTAATAGCTTTATATATTATTTATTTGAAATTAAATTTAAAAAAAAAAAAAAAAATTAATATCTATATAATATAGAGTTGTAAAAATCTTACCGATTAAAAAAATTTTTACATTTCAATGAATCAATTGTAAATGTATGTGAATCATGTACTAAAGTTTATTATTGTAAATTAAGTTTATTTTTTATGTGTTTTGCTTTCTTAAAATCAAATATTTAATAATCATTTTATTATTATTATTATTATTATATTAACAATTTAAAAGCTTTAAAAAAAAAAAAAATTACAATTTCCTAACTTTCGAAAAAGAAATTTATTTGTTTTTACTTATTTCAACACACAAATTATTAATTTTTAAATAAGAATTATTCGAAGAAATGTTCATTGATGAAGTTTATGCATGGGAAACATGTCTGACTACATAAAATTTTTTAAATTTTAATATTTGTTTAAACAAATGTATTTTTTCTTTCGATAAATCATGAAATGCAATTAGGCAAAGATTTAAATTGGAAAACTTTTTGTCAAACCTTGAAATAATCAGTCGTTAAAAATGTCTCCAATAAAGTATTATTTGGCTCAAAGGCTAAAAAATTAACATTTTTTAATTATATTTATTATTATTATTATTATTATTATTATTATTATTATTATTATTATTATTATCATTACGCAACAAATAGTTTTCTCCATTATCCATTTGGAAAATGTTAAATAAATTTTTAGTTAAAATAATAATAATAATAATTTTGTAAATTAATAAAAATAATATCATTTCTAATGGTTATAGGGAAAATGTCATATTATTCGACAAATTGAAAAAATAATTAACCGTCAAGGTAAGTAATTAATTCGATAATAATAATAATAATAATCGTTTATTATTCGGGTTGGGGGGGGGGGAAAAAAATTATAATTAAAAACGTTTACGGTCATTTTAAGATTATTATGATTAAAGTTTTAAATATCCGAATATTGCTACGCCATTATTGATTTTTTCAAACAAAATGTTGACATATAAAATTATTATCGTAACAAAAAAAAAAAAAAAATTAGGCATTTTTATTTATTTTATTAACCGACGAACAAATCATCACACACGAAAAACTCATTGTTATTATTATTATTATTATTATTATTATTATTACATCATTCACCCCTTGATCAATGAAACGACAATATGTATATATACTTTTGCACCCAATTAGATGTTTATATACGTGACTTGTTTGTTATATCCTAGGCGTTAAAAAAAAAAAAAAAAAAAAAAAAAAAAAACGAAGAATTGTGCAAGGATTACGATTATGATTATTATTATTATTATGATTTTTCCCCATTTGCAATTCGACGTAAAACAACGAAATGTATTTTGTCGGCCATTTTGAAAAGAATCAAATTTACATTTTTAAAAACGTAGAATTAGACAAAATAATTTAAAATTTTTTTTTGAAAGTAAAGCAAAATTTTAATCCGAAAATGGATTATAATAAACCAATAAAAACGTTTTTAATCATTATTCAAATCTAACTTCCAGGTTTAAAAAGGAAAACATTATATATATTTAATAACAGTTAAAATCTTGCACATGCACGTTCTTTGCAAGTCCTAAAACGGAATTTTTGGCTCGACTTAACGGAAACAATTATTATTATTATTATTAAACAAAAAACGTTACATTTCAAACGACAAGTTGTGTGTGTGTGCTTTCGATAATAATAATAATAATAATAATAATAATAATAATAATAATAATAATAAATTATTAATAATTAATTTTTCGTTTGTGTTATTAAAATTAACCAACATTAAATTTCCATATGCTTAACGCGGTCCTGACTCGAAACTGCATGTGACAGAATTAACAGGTAATTACTGCTACCTAAGACAATCAGTATAGAATTCGCATACCGGGGATTAACTTCGTTGGATATTATTATTATTATTATTATTATTATTATTTAATAATAGTTAATTACATCAGTAAGTTATTATTATTATTATTATTAATTATTTTATATATATATATATTAATATAATATCGAAAATTTTATTATGTAATTTAATTATTAAAATATGCGGGGGAAAAAAAATCCCCTCCGTAAGCGCAGTAGAAGAAAGGGAAACGTAACGAACGATTCTTGGAAAAAAGTCGTTAAAAAGGAATTCATTTTTTCAAAAAAAAACGGTTTTCGAACGCATCGTTCTTTTTAACTAACAGATCGGTTAAATTAAATTAAATATTGTTTATTACGTGAGTTTTAAAACTAAACTAATAAGTTAAATTTTTTTTTTATTTATTTTATAGCCATTGTGCAATTTTTTTTTTTTTGGATAAAGGACATCGCGTTAGTGCCTAAAATTCAAATAATAATAATAATCATAATCGTTATTATTATTGAATAAACGAAAGTTTTATAATAAAAGAAAGAAAAAAAAAAAAAATGGCTCGTGATTTTTCACGTTTTTCATTTAAACAAAACCGATTCAAATTTCGATTTATTTTTCTTGTTTAAAACAACAATATGGGAAAACAATAAAAAAAAAAAAACATTATTTTTCATATATATATTATCGCAAAAAAAACAAAACAAAATAAAATAACGATCGGTAACGTAAATAAATGCGAGTTTTATCTAATAATAATAATAATAATAATGCGTTACGGTTAGAAGAAAAAGAGGTGGGGGAGGGGGGAGGGGGAAGGGAGAAAAACGTTACCCTTTAAAATAGAAACAAAAAAAAAAAAAAATTTTGCAAAAGAATTCCTTTTTTTTTTTTTTTTTACAAGATGGCGGTTTTCTTATCGAATCTCGAAGCTTCAAGTTTCGCTATTTTTTTTTTTTTTTTTTTTTTTTTGTAAGTTTCATTTAACTATTATCATTATTTCATCAAGTGACGAATCAAGGATTTGTTTGTCTCTGGAACGTGTTTTTTTGTGTTGAAAGAACGTTTGTATCTTTTTGTTTATAGATTAAAACGGCAACCCAGATTAGCGACGACCTAATTCAAGAAGGTTCTTGTATTAAAAGTACATTAGTTTTTATTACTTAGTGAATCGTTTGCTTTAGGATCGAGAACTAACTGTGGTCGCGTCATTAAAAAAAAATAATTTTTTCACGTTTAATTAACGTTCGATAACCGTTGGAAAACAAAAAATAATAATAATAATTTCGGTAATAATTAATAGTTTTATTTAAAGTGAGTGAGAGAGAGAGAGAGAGAGAGAGAATACGTTTTTCATAAATTGCAATAACGTTTTTTTTTTTTTTTTTTTTCTATCTGTTCTCCTTGCAACGAAAATTGCACATACGGAGGGGATCGTTTAAGGATAATTGCATAGCATTTAATTTAAACATAATTTTTTTTTTTTTTTTTTTTTAAACGGTTTAAAACGGTTTAATAGCTCGAACGACAAACATTAAATTTATATTTTATTTTTAAATCGGTACCGAGAATATCATTTAATTAGTTTTAACTTAAATAAACGTGTTTTAACTTTAACTCGTTTCGTAATACATAACAATTACTAATTTTATATATGTGTAATAATAATAATAATAATAGGATCAATGGTTTACTCATTTAAAAATATAGTTCATTAGTTATAATTAATAATTAAGTGCTTACCGGACGACGAAAACGTTTTTTTTTTTTTTTTTCATTTTTTCCATTTTTTTTTTTTTTTTATAGCAATGATCAAACAAATGGTGGTGATTTATGTAAGCTTGGCGGTCGCCGCCATTTCCTTGGCACAAACAAATGATGGAATTGAAACGCCTCAGGAATGCATACCAGACAGTCCAAATTATAACGCAACAATATGTTCGGAAAATGTACAAACGAACTATATAAAAATTCAAGTTTTTGTTTGAGAAACGTCACGATCAACGCACCCACGACCGTAATTTCGGATACTCAAACGAGTCAACAAACACCGGAAGTTACCCCCAGTGTGACGTCAACATCAGAAAAAACCACGACTGTCGTTCAAAATGTTAACGTTTCTAATGAAACGACCAATAATAATACGTCATCATCCGGAATGTCGGTAAAATTTTCAACGGTTTTTATAGGATCTTGTTTTCTTTTGCTGTATTTTGTTTTATAAATAACAAAAAAAAAAGAGCAATACAGCATTAATTTGAATATTATTTTGTTTTTAATAATATAAAAGCAGTTTAAATAATAAAAATCGTGAAAATTATAATTCATTTTTAATTTTTTTTTTATTTAAGGTTTTTATTTCAGTTATTTTTTTTTTTTTTTTAAATAATAAATTTATATTTATTTAATTATAAGTTATGTAGATGAAGGGTCAAAATATGTTATTATGTAAAAGAGTAATGTGTTGGAGAGCAAGAGGAAGAAAGAGAAAGAGAATGATAGAGAAAGGCCCAGTGAATTTTTTTTTTTTTTAATCGCAATTACTTTTCTGTTTTAATTTTTTTTTTTTTTTTTTTAATATAAATAAATGTGTTTAAATAAATAAGAGATTTATTATTATTTTTTGATTATGAGAGTTTCCATAATATCATCACAATCATGAGCTGACGGAAAGAATATTTAAATAAGGCAATGATTAATTTTGTAATGTTTTAAAATCTCGAATTTTAATTTCGGTTAAAGTTTGGGCTGTTGAGTTTT